CAGAGGCTGGGTGCTCCACAGAGTCTAAACTCCTTACTTTCTGCTTCCTTACAAAAAAAGTTAGCCAGCCCCAGGTAGAACATGGCTCTGAGGTCAGCCTGCCTCAAATTATGGTGCCTCCTTCCTTTTTTTTTTTTTTTTTTCTTTTTTTTTTCTTTATCTAACTGAATGATTTTAAGCAAGCCAATCTCTGGAGACCCCAGTTTCTTCACCTTTCAAATGGGCATAATAAGTAATTAACGTAAAAGCATTTTGAGATGATGAAACTAGTAAATTTTATTTGTTGAGGTTTGAGATAAGAACCTGTAGCCAAGCCAGGTGTGGTAGTGTACTCCTAGGCTGTCCTTGAACTCACAGAGACCCAATTACATATGCCTCCCAAACACTGGGATTAAAGGAGTACAAAGCTACATAATGAGACCTATTCTTGGAAAACAACAACAACAAAAAAGAACCTGTAGCCAGTATTAGCATGTTATCATCTATTTGTGCAAATCAGTCACCAAGAGGTTATAAATTGATGTTTAACATGAGGGAGATGAAAGCCACTGTAGAGAGTTTGGAGGTGGCCTAGAGGTGACTCTAATACCATGGAGCCTTGCAAAGGTTCCCCTGTCATGTCCAAATATTTGAAAGTTGCTTTTTGTTTGTTTGTTTGTTGATATGACCTAATCAGCTCATGGACAAAGGCATCCATTGGCACAAACAGATCTCACCTTTGCTCTGAACTAAGTCCCTGTGCCGAGCGAGGCTGCATTTCCAGCCACCCCTGGGGAGCGGTGGTGGCTCAGAAAAGGTGGACTCTCAAGGCAGCTGCAGACACGCTGTATCCTGTCTTGATATGGCACCCAGCCCCACTCTGCAAAGTGAAGTGCAGAGAAAGGGAAGCGTTCCCTGTAGGTCTGTCTTGGTGAAACTGTTTCGAGGACAGGAAAAAGAGAAACTGAGCTACATTGTGTTGATGTGGTAGGCAGTTTCTTCATGATGCAGTCTGCTTTGCTCTTACCTCTTGGGAGGAAGAATGAAGAGACTGAAAAGTCACTGTGCCTCCCTAGAGAAAGAATTTAAAAATCTATTAAGAAAACCTTATGTTAAGAATGCAGTCAGAGTGCTGTGTCCTCCTTTGTTTGCAGCTAGCTCATTAGATACATTAAATTGCTAACTAAATTCTCTTATAGAAAAATCTGGCCTCATTGGTCACCTTCATTCTCTTTCCTCCCCTCCCCTCTCCTTTTTTACTTCATCCTTTTTTGTCTTCTCTTTCCTCTAAATAGAAAAAAAAAGCATAAAAGTCAATGCTATTTCATGATACACATTCATAGCAAACTTGATATAAACAGAATTTTTTTCTACTTGATAAAGAATCTCTCATGTTTTCATCAAATACAATAAATATAAAATGAATATTTAAAAATAACCACTTTGGCAGGTAGGGGAGCTGGCTCAACAGCTAAGGGACTTGCTGCTATTGCAGAGGACAAGTTTGCTTCCCAGTATCCCCACAGAAGCTTACAACCATGTGTAACTCCAGTTCCAAGGGACCTGACACTGTCTCCTGGCCTGCAGTAGTGCCGGGCATGCACATGAACACATATGTATAATGTAGGCAAATATTCATCACAGAAGAAGTTTTTACATGAAGAAACATTTCTTTAAAGTATTTCTTTTGAAATTGTATTTATTTGTAAACATTTTGGGAGCTGAGCATGGTGACACGCACTTGCTATCGCTCCACTTGAGAATTAATGGCAAGAAGAGCAGAAATTGAAGATCAGCCTCCATCCACCACATAGTTCTAGTCCGGCCTGGACCATACAGAGCAGCAATAGCAACACCAGCGAAGTCGTGTTACAGTCAGCGATTAGACTAGTGTACCCAATACCTTTTTTTTTTTTCCCTCCCTGAGACAGGGCTTCTCTGTGTAGCCCTGGCTGTCCTGGCCTCACTTTGTAGACCAGGCTGGCCTCGAACTCACAGAGATCTATGGGCCTCTGCCTCTTTAAGTGCTGGGATTACAGGCCTGTGCCACTGTGGTGAGTTTGTACCCAGTATCTTAACTGTATAATAAACACTATACAAGCAGTCTTAATTAGTAAAACAAAACAATAAAGCCTAGAGAAGATTAAGCAGAACTATGGTTATTCAAACCTACTGCCCCCCCCCTTCCCTTTAAACATTTTTAGTGATGGGCCTTCCTACTTGCCCTTGAGATCCTGTGATGGTGGTCATGGCAGTCATGGCAGTGGCAGAGTGTGCCCTGAAGCAATACATCTGTGCCTGGTTGCAGCTTGCCTATCCTGGTCTGGCAATGTGCTTTGCTGGACCAGGCAGACCATCTGCAGGTTATGTCTGTCTTCTTCCGGCACGCCTGAAGACATCCTTGGTATTGCATTTGCTAGTTCTCAGTAATGCTATTTACTTAGAATCTGGAAAGATTTTCTCGGAGGGCTCTTTAGACAGTAGTAAGATGGGGCTGGAGACAGACTGAGTAAATGGAAAAGAAAAATCAAATTAGACCAAGAATTGCTTTTAATCTCTTATTGATAACACCATAATTTATACCTCACTCATGGGTCAAACATAAAGCCTCCCACTTAGATTCTGTAGCCTGTAAGTATTCTTGAGCTTACAGTTGCCTGTGTTGACAGATCATGGCAGGGGGGCTTCTGGTTCATTCCTCTTTGTATAGGAGTCACCGGAGAGCAGCCTAATGCTGACTCTCTTGAGGGCCATGCCTCAGGGAAACAGTTCTAATTAGGACCCCAGGTAGCAGCAATGTGCATTTCACAGTTGCACTGAATATGTACCCTGTGGCTGTATTACAGTGTAGATCAGGTACATCCGAGTGGGCCGTCTAAATGGAGCAGCAAAGTCAGGGCAGCATGAGAGCAGATGACACACAGGGTGGAGAACGGCTAGGTCATCCTGCAGCCTGCCCATGCACAGCATTCCCTGCCGCACTTTAAAGCCACAGCCCAGCTGCAGCTCATCCTTCAGCCTCCCCAGTCTGGTGCAGCTTTAACTGTGGAGATGAGACGCAGACTCCCTGGGCTCTGAGGTACATGCAGGGTTACCCGAGACCAAGTCCTTTTCCCCTGTGACTTTGCTGATGTGCTGCAATGCGGTTTTTGCCGCCAAAGGGAGCGAGATCACAACCCTGGCATTTCTAGACTAAAGCAGAAGCCATTTAAAGAAATCTGGGGGTTGTTTAAGAGGCTGTATGTGCACACGCGTGTTCTCAGTATGCTGGGCATGCAGACTGATGTAAAAGGGGAGGGAGGGCAAATCATACTCTGGGCACAGATGCTCAGGAGCCCAGGCGCAGGGCAGGAGCATCCTCAAGGACATCACTGCCTGGAGGCAGACAGCTTTCAGACTTTTCTCTTCAGTACTTCATCTTTCCTAGTGCAGCTTCTCCTGTTAGGAGATTCGTCTGTTGCATTTTAAAACCCAGCCTTCCTAGTTCTTTGCTGTCTTCTCAGCAGAGGATGTTGAGAAGCCTGAGACATCCCTAGCAGCCGGATCCGTTCTGTCTTAGAAAACCAACTGCTTTGCAAACCCACAGCTTACTCTTTGACACCATGGAACTGTTTTGAACTTCTTTAAGTTTGATTTTTTTTTTTTCTACTTAAAATGTCAGCAAAGTATGTACAGTCTTGTTAAGAGAGGGCTTCTGATTTCCGAGGCTAGCAAGGGCATCAGAGGACATGAAAACTTCCCGGCTGAATTCCAGATTCATGAAGCATTTCTCCAAACGTCTGCTCCGTTTAGAATGCCCTGCAGGAATCCCTTGAAAAACTGGAAAATCTGGCTCAAACTTTGAGAGCAATGGCTGAAAAAGAAAGATGAACATCTTGGAGTAGGGCTTGGGGGAGCTTCCTAGGAAATGATTGAAGTCTGCTGCAACTGGCTGATCTGGCATTTTCCATCACATTTTGGTGTCTTCATGTGCCGTCCATCATCTACTACAGATCAGATGGAGTTTAGGAAAACAAGGGTAACCTACAGTCCTCATTGTCTTATAAAATGTTTGCTGTGTCCTTTCTCTCTTTCCCTACAGCCTGTTTTTTATTTGTGTCATTCTCGTTAACATTCATTGGAATAAGGAGTCTCCCTCCCCCTGTTAGCCAGCTCTGGAGTAACTTACGGATTTGCACGTGATGTTTTCTGTGGAGGTGACTTTGAAAATGTGTGGCTATAAATAGTATGGAAACCAATACCAATGATACCAATTTCCCCCTGTGCATTTCCTTTTGCCATTAGATAGTTTATGATATGTGCCTCTCTATTATTGTAGGTACAAAGATGCTTTCTTATAATCCAATAAATAGAACTTATTAAAAAAATATTTGGGGCTGGTCAGATGTTTCAGCGGCTTTGGAAGCAAGACTGACAAACCTGAGTTTGATCACTGGGACCCACATGGTGAAAGGAGATAAATCACTTCAGAAGTTGTCCTCCGAGCCCCTCCTCCTACACACACACAGACAAATAAATGTTTAAAAAATAGGTTTTTACTTCAATGAACTAAAAGCAATATTTGTACTTTAGGAAAAATGAATAGATAAAGCATACACAAAAATGGTTCTGGCAAGGTGGTGGGAAGGAGTTTTAAAAAAACGAAACCAGAAGCAACAAAACACATGCCATCACCTGGCAAGGTCATTGGCTGGGAACTCTCTACAGCAATGGAAAGGGGTCCACGGAGTGGAAGCTTTGAATGAAAAGCTGACTGACGGGGTGGAGGGGAGAGGTGGGGTGGGGAGAAGGGTGGATCCCTACCTTTCTGCCACCCTACTGCCTCTGTCTACATCCTCCATCATTCCTCTTTCCAGGCTCCTCAGCCAGATCACCCATGCCGATTCTGGGGCCATTGTTCACGTTCTACAGATGACCCTGCTGCCTGCAGTTCTCAGAGCAGGATGGATGTGATGTTGTGGCAGATATTTCAAGATTGGCCTTCACATTGTCCTTTTTTTCTTTTCTTTCGAATTGTACAGGAGCCTAGTAATAAAAGGGTCAAACCCCTTTCCAGAGTCACCTCACTAGCAAACCTCATCCCACCTGTGAAGACCACGCCGTTAAAGCGCTTCAGCCAAACCTTGCAGGTAAGGTGATGTGGGCTTGTGGTTGCAGAAAGCTGTGCTGTGATTGTTCATGCCACCTAGAATTTCTGTTGGTTTCAGGTGGAGCTGAATCACCACGTGCTCCTGTAGAGGAGTGCAGGTGAGGGAAGTGCAAGGAAGAAAAATGTATGCAAGTTGTAACTCCATCTTAGGCAGAGTAAGGGCCACTTCTGTTAGGTTTTTCCTCAAAGTTTATTTCTAAGTCATGAATTCTACCCATAGTGCACTCTTACTGGTTTTACCCAGCAATATCTCTGGACTCCTGAGATATAAGCATGTAATATGAACTGGATAGTAGTAGAAATTAATGGCTTCAGCCAGAGTCAGTAAGCTATGGAGGTGGGAGGAGGGCAAAACCTGCCACCTCAGGCTGCAGAGATGGCTCAGAGGTCAAGAGCTCTGGCTGCTCTTCCAGAGGTCCTGAGTTCAATTCCCAGCAACCACATGGTGGCTCACAACCATCTATAATGAGATCTGGTGCCTTCTTCTGACTGTCAGGCAGGGCACTATATACTAATAAATAAACAAATCTTAAAAACAAAAACAACAAACAAAAAACCTGCCACCTCTTTGCTCATGGCTCATGAACTAAGGATGGTATCAACTTTAAGTGTTTGGGGAGGAAATGAAAAGAAATGGTCTTTCTTTCTTCCTTCCTTCCTTCTTTCCTTCCTTCCTTCCTTCCTTCCTTCCTTCCTTCCTTCCTTCCTTCCTTCCTTCCTTTCTTCCTTTCTTCCTTTCTTTTCTCTGTATAGCCTTGGCTGTCCTGGAACTCACTTTGTAGAGCAGGCTGGCCTTGAACTCAGAGATTCACCTGCCTCTGCCTCTGCCTCCGGAGTGCCAGGATTAAAGGCATGTGCCACCACAGCCTAGCAGAAATGGTATTTTTTATATGTGAAATTCTAATTTCCCTGTTCATAAAGGAGCTTGGTTGGAACACAGCCATGCTTCTCTCTTTAGAAAAAGGTTTGTTGACCTCTGGGTAGAATGAAGGCCCTGAAGTGTCTTGGCTCTGACTTTAGCCCTCCGTTTGAAGACCGCCACCCTAGGGCAGGTGACCTAACATTCCTAAGTCCTGTGTTTATTCCTTAGGGAGACGTTTATTACAGAGTTACCTTTTGTGCCTTGCAAAGGACCACAGCTCCTTTGCAGAGTAATTGTAGAGATCTGTGAAACAACCGAGTCAGAGGGCATTTAGTTGTTACTAGCTGTGTAGCGATTATTGTCTATAGAAGTAATTTTTAGATAAAGAAGTATGTGTACTTGGTTTTGAACTTTATTATATTTTTATTTTGTGGGAGTAGGAGGGGCATGTGGTGTCATGATGCTTATGTGAAGGTCAGAGGACAACTTACAAGGAGTCAGTTCTCTCCTTCAACCATACAGATCCCAGGGATTGAACTGTGGTCTTTAGGCTTGGTGGCAAATGCCTTTACCCATTGAGTCATCATGTCAGACCTATTCTTAACCCTCTCACTGCAGCTTGCCTTTTAAAATGAAAGTTAAGATCTGTCTACAACCTTAGAACCAATTTGTAATCATAAAAGTTCTCCTTTTAGATTGAATCCCCCAAAAGTCATACCATGAGGTCTCATCCAGCAAGTCATGGGGTCTTGGGTCTGCTGTTTCTCCTTCATCGTGAATACTTGTACCTAGCAAAGTTTTTATCTTGACCTTGAATGTTGAAAAAAGAAAAAAAAAATGTAGACCAGAAAGCTGTTGCCAGGTGACGATTTTGCCTTGGGTCTTATCTTCTCAAAGGAAAGAATTTAGCTAAACCCAGTGTTTAAGCAGCAAAGCAAAGCCTTCACCCAGAGACAATGACTGGCATGATTGACCCACGCTGACAGTCATAGCTTAAGAGCACTGTGAGGTTCTCCTACACCCCTTTGCATCCCTGCTTCCTTATTGGTGGATGAGGGCACAAAGGCCCTGTGATGCCATCCATTCCCACTGCTCACCCCCTTTCTTACCCACCCCTCTGTTAGCACTGCTAACTGTTAATTGTGAATGAAAAGCTTACCACCTACTTAGCTCTGAATTTGCCTCTGTCTGTCTCAGTGCTTGGGACTATGGACTCCTGGTTATACTCTGGTTTTGTGGTAGGAAGAACAGAGGAAGAAAATAAGATTTTGTGGGGGAGTCAGCCTGCAGAGCTAGTGGAGAAGGATGTGTACGTACTGTCCCTCGTGGCCACTGTCTCAGCCCCGTGGACGGCTTCACTCCAGGCTTTTCCTGGAAGATTCATTATCGCCAGAGTCCTGCACATCTGGTCTTTTGCTGAGTTCTGCTTTTTGAAAAGTTTTTAGACTGTCTATGCATTTGACTCTTTCCTTTCCAGTCTGGTGGCCGTGGTTCAAGTTCACAGCGAGCTCTTTCGTCCCTTGATGATGGGGCCCTACACTGATGGCCTCTGTTCCTATTGTTTCTCCCTGGAGGGCCCACTCTGCGCTGGGGAGCCCTCCCCCTGTACCTGGTCTTCCTGCATGCAGGGTGCCTTCTTCAAGTACAGCAGATTCACAGCAGTGCGGGATTAACTTCGCCGCATGACAGTAACAAGTTAGAGTCAAGCAGCCAGCCAGCTTTTACCCAACATATCCTCTACTCCTGCAGTTGTCCTTGGAGCTCTTGGTCGCTCTATGTGGTGACATTGCCTCTCCTGGCTTGCAGGCCTTTGAACATTACCCCACCCCACCCCATAACCTGCCCTGATTGCATACCTTTGCTATTTTGATTTAGAGTTCTCAGGCAATCTTTATTTGTTTTTCCTGGTTCCTAAGGGTCCTGCACAGGAAACACTGCAGAAAACAGTTGATTGTCTTGGAAATTTACATTGACCTAGAGGACTGGGAAAGAGAGAAATTAATTAAGCCATGTCTGAACACTAACAGACTGAGACCAAGCAAAGATGAGAAGGCCGGACCCAAGGGAGAGTCTGCCATGTGGAAATTGCCTTTAAAGCTCCAAAGATTTTTTTCTTTTGCAAAATAAATCTCTACTGACCTTTTTCGACTGTCATGATAAATAGCTAACCCTGGGCTGTATGTATGGGGCAGAAATAGAAAAGTTATTCATAGTGGTTATGCACATAGACAGAGAATTTGACAATATGTTGTTATTTGGAGGAAAGAGGTTAATGGATGGAAATACACCTGCAAGCTTGTACTTGTCCATGCCACGTTCATGTGAGACCTGTGAGATGGTGAGTGCCATCTGACCCCAGGCTACAGGCTCCCCGTAGCCCATCGTGGGGCGTGCAGTGTGCGCTTCTCAGACTTGTTTGCCAAACTAGCACTCTGCTTGATGCCTCCTCCCTTCATTGCTTTCCTTACCAGCTAGAAAGGGAGGAAGAGCTAATGTAGGAAACGAGGAGGATAATGGGGAGGAGCCGGCCCGCAGGGGCTGCTCAGGACCCACTGACGAAACTGGTAGGGGAGGGGTTACACCCGCCATGGAGTGCATGCGGAGGTCAGAGGACAAGTTCTACAAGTCAGGTCTCTCACTCGACCCTGTGGGCCCTGATGACTGAGCTCAGGTCATCAAGCCTGGCGTCAAGCGCAGTTACCACTGGGCCGTCTCATCTGGCCATTCCCCTTTTTGGCTGTTATTGAGACAGGGCCTCACTGTAGAGCTCTGGTTAGCCTAAGACTCTCTATGTATGTTGATCATCCTCCTGCCGCTGCCTTCCAAGTGCTGGGGTTAAAGGCATATGCCCCGTTTTACATTTGTTTACATTTTTTAATTTGGGAATAGGATCTCACTAAATTGCTCAGGTGGACCTTGAACTCCCCCTGTAGCCCAGGCAGTCCTAATGTTTTTGATTCCCTTGCCTCAGCCTCCTGTGTGGCACCATACTCATGCCACCAGACCCAGCGGGCAGCTTGGTTTTCTGGTGCACTATTCCTTTTTCACTGGCTCCCAGCACTTTCGAGACAGATGGAACCTTTTGGCTATCCAGTTTCATCTCTCAGGTTGAGTTCTTTTAATTATAAGCCAAACAGTGACTTAGACCCAAACACGATGCTTCCATCAACACTGTGTGGTTCTGCCTCCGGCTTCTTGTGAGACCACAGCTGGTGAAGGGGGACACTCCAGGCTGGCAGTCTCTTCCAGAGAGATTAAAAGCCCATTTACAAACGTGAGTGGTCTCCGAAGCAGCACACTGCTGGGTTTGTTTTCTCCCACCTCCTGGCACCCTTATGGGCTGGAAAGTTGGGCCTCAGCACAAAGGCAGCATTTACAGCGTCGACTGCGTGGTGCTCTGTCGGTTCCTTACTAGAAAGGTTTAGCACGGGGCTGCCGGTAGACGACAGCACAGATGTCTGGATCTCCCCAGGCCCATAAATCCCCTCTTCAGCACGCCCGAGAGGAAACCTGGCCCAGCTCTGGAAGGGCTGGAGTGTGGACCTCTCATGAGGGCCAGGGAATACCAGCTCCCACGGGCCAGCTGCAGGCTCCGCTCTGCCTCTCCGTGCGCAGCTGTGCACTAGTGGACACACCTGAGCCAGGTCCAGCAAGGACAGAGTTCACGGCCCCGTGATGTTGCCCTTCACTCTCTTTGGACACAAACATCTTTCTTTCTGTTACAAAAGTGTGTTCTTTAGGGGGAAATTGGGAATAAGATAAAGGGAGAACGAATGGGTATGGCCTTCCATTTCTAAACAACCCTTTTTAACCTTGTAACATTTCTTTTCCGAGTGACTTTGGCTATTAGTGCATCCTTTATAGATCTGGAGCCTAACTCAAAGTCGCTGAGTCTCTCAGACTCACTTGTGTGTTTTGCTCACTTTGGGGTGCAAATGCATGATAAGTGTCTCTTGGCTTCACATGGGAGCACTCCAACTTTCATTAAAGTTAAAAATCTCTGTTTATTTTCCATAATAGTTTTGGTTTAGATCCCCTCCCTGCTCTGTTTTCTTGTTATTTAAAGCAAGGTCTCGTGTAGTCCAGGCTGGCCTTGCATTTGCTATGTAGCTGAGGAG